AGTAACTTCCAGGAAACTACTGAGGTGTTTATTCCTTTATTTGTGCTAGTGAATTGGCCAAACTACAGAGAATGCACCAGAATCCACCTAATAAGTTCTCTGTTCTAGAATTTCATCAGTCATATTAGCTGTGTTCTCCTTGCATAGAGGTAGAACGTCCCTTATTCTGAGACTGTAAGAGAAGTATATGATTCTGATTGACTTCATGGATATTACTTACTGTTTTCCAGAGCAGTGGTCTCCATGCACTGCATCCATGTAAATAAGTTCCTTCTCTTTGTTTAGGGTGATGGGATCTTTGCAGAACTTTGAGGCCTTCTCGGAGGCGTTCCGCTGTAAAAAGGGTACAACCATGCATCCTGCAGAGAAATGCAGAGTGTGGTAGCCAAATAGAAAACTGGCCAGAATGACAAATACTCTGGTGATTAAATATGCCAATGATGTGCCTGATGTTCTCCTGCTCAATCACAGCCAAGGCTAATGGTGCAGCTGCTGTGGTGAGAATCCCAGACCAGTAGCGCGGAAGCTCTTACAGTTCCACTGGGAAATACTGAAAGCATCTCGATGACTGATGGGCTGTGCTGAACGCCACAGTGTGCTCCAGAGCAAATATGACTGTTCCAAATGACATCCTGACTGTTACTATGTTACTGCATCAGGGCTAGTTATTAAAAAACAGACAGAAACAATTATATACAAACAAGTATATATTTTTCAGCAAGAAACAACCATTTTAATGTGTCTTGCAGTTACATCTTCTGAGACTCAGCAAACCTGTTTGAGGTGTTTCACCAAACTATTTTTCAGTAGTCTGGTTCAGTTTCTGGTGCTTTTTCTGAAATTCAGGCTAGAGGTAAAATAAAATTCTTGTGCTGTCCGTTTAACACTGTCCACTTGCACTTTGATTTCTGCTTCGTTGTAACATTGCTATTTGTCTTGATATATTCCAAAGTGAGCTATATGTCAAAATGCCTGCCAGCTGCTGACTTTACACAAAGCTGCACTCTTCTACTGCACTTGAGTTCCTCTGCTCCAAAGAGCAACTGTAACATGACCTAGAAATGAGGTAGAAAGACCACATTTTTTCAAGTACAAATGCTGTTGTTACAGTTAAAATTACAGGGACCCTCCCTTTAGAGACATATTTAAGATGAAGCTTATTCTTGTAGAAGTGTATAATATACTTTTTGCCAAAGAACATATGTATCCATATAATCAGCTACCCTATTTTTAAACCTGTGCCTTTTCATTTTGCCGTAGGCTATTTTTCAATATTTTTCAATATTTACACTTGAAAATATAGCACATATTTAATTTTAAAAAATCACAGTTGCCAACTCAGCAAGCATTTTCCTACAGAAAATTTTATGTGGCTTTCTTCAGTAAGTGCTCTAACATAACGATGTTATTTTAAACTGCCAGTCCTTAATAGTGGATTTTAAATATTCTTCTTGCACATGCTTTTCTTTCTAGCACACAAATCCCTGGAAAGCAAGATGTTCACTACTAGTGCTTAGCTAGTACCAAATTACATTATTCAATTGTTTAAATTTTTAGTTACTGCACCCCAACAAACATTTGATTATCCAAATACTATGGAAGGAAATAAAAATCATTTAATTGTAATAGTTTGGCCCATAAGAGAAGATCTACTGATTCTGGCCATTTGAAAATAAGAGCTGCATGAAGCCCTCGTAGTTTTTCCATGAATGTTAATTTTACTTTTTAGAATGAAATCAATCTTTTACTGCTGGTGAGAACATGTACTTCATTTATATTTAATTTCTGTCTTAGAAATAATCTTAGAGGGTTGTTTTCTGAAGGAATTGGCACTGCCTTGGGGATTAACCTTTCTTTGATGCCCTGCAAAGTCTGAATGATATTTAGAAGAGAAACAAAGTACTAACATAGTGTTTATTTGCAAGTTAATTGAATGCTCATTTAATCTCCCCGAAAGATTCAGAACAGACTGTCCAGCACCCACCAAAATTGCAAACACTACACTATTACAAATAAATACTACACAAAGCACAGAGGTAACTTGGCCTTCACCTCAGTTAGCAGTAAATAGAAACTGCCTCAAATCTGTTTGTTTCTGTGGTGCACCTCAGATAACTGTATACACGGAGCTCTTCAAAGGAATGCTACCTGAATTATGTTTGATTTTTGTTCATTTCAGCTAGGTCTATTAGCTGAAGAGACTTGCACTTGACCATGTTAATTCAAGCAAAGATACAGAATCAAGGCAGATAAGTGGGAGGAAAGAATATTTTTTCAAACAGGAATTGCTTTAAGTGCCTGATGACCTCAGAACAACTGATCTGCACTAAAAACAGACAAAAAGAAAGAAATTAATTTCTTCATTCAAAAGAAAGTCATTTAAGTCAGATTATTTAAGGATGCTAGCAACACAAAGGAGATACAACAGTTTCATGCAATATCATAGTCTATATCACCTTTTGGTTTTTTTCAGTTGAAAAGTGGTTTTGCTCTTTAATTAACCCAGTGTGCCTGTTCCATGCATTGCAAAATTGTTTGGCGTACAGAGTAGGTTTCCATTTGTTCCTGGATTGGGTTATACATGCACTAAGGTAGGAAATTTATATTTCCAATGTTCTGTATTTCTACAACACTCAATGTGATCTGCTGCCCAAATTTTATTCTGGCCGTAAGTGAGGTTGGCCTTTCTCACCGCATCTGAAACTGATGCTCACAAAAAGATTATTTGATCACTGTTTCCTAGTTGAAAGAGTTTAATTTTTTCAAAAACTTAAATGATTAAGTCTATCTTACAAGAGAATGAAGTGCTCTGATAACAATCAGCTTTTATTATTTAATTATTTATTTGTGTATGGTGGCAGGCAAAATAAAGTGTATTTAACTGCATTTTGTGTATCTTCACTAGCTCTGCCTCACTTCACTGTCTTCACTTACCTGGATTTTCTATGCTGTATTACTTGTGTGCACACAGTATAAGTAAGTAAATTCCATATTCAGGTAGTTAAAGACCATTTTCCCTTGTATGTCTGATATTTTCATGTGGCTCTTCCAGAAAACTAGGTTGGTTAAAGTGCATTCTTTTCTTAAGATGTGTGCTTAATCTTTATCTGAAAGTAGCAGCTCTTGCTTCCATATACACCAAGCAGGGCAAAGCATATACAGCTGAGCAGGGGCCAGGGGAGGAGGTTTGCAGGTTGATAAGTTAATTACTGTGCAAAATCACTAAGCTCTGGAGATATGCCATTGGAACAACTGCTGAAGGGATAATTAAAATGTGCCGAGGAGGTTTTGTCCCAATTCAGTATTATAGCACATGGAAGTTACTTATTTTTTCATGCAAGTTTACTAAGCCTCCCACCTGCAAGAGAATCTTCCCATCTGTCACTTCGTGTCTGTGCCAGCACAACACAAGTGTCTAAACTAAAGTCTCCCTTTAAGTCCTACTGGTACCTATCTAATTTAATCTGTAGGGGGAGGGGAGTTAATCTATAGCTCCCCTCCACAGTTAAAACTTCCTACCTCATGCTAGCTGCTGGTAGCCTTGATGAAACCTGAACAGAGATAGCTCACCGTCTAAATACTGGTACCGTGTTTTCCAGAATAAGAGGAGACAGAGCATTTTCTTCTCCACGCTGCCACCTGCTGGCATGAAAAGACTGCCAAAACATATAGCAAGTTTTTCAGACTTCAGATTAATCAAACACACACATTGACTTCAGACGTGGTACCTGCCCRTGCTGGAGAGCAGGGCAGAAGAGTTACGGTGCGAGTGCATTGCGCAAGATGCGCACCCATAAGGCAAACAGACAAATCCTAGTCCAGCAGCCTGCCAGCACACTTGCAACACCTCCAGAAGGTTTACGTATGTCTAGCACCTTCCAGTTGAGGTTTATAGAGTGATTTATGAACTCTAATTAACCCTAGGTGAAAATCAACAGATCTGGATTATGCAAAGATGAAGAGCARTGAAATTTCAGACCCAAATACCACCATATTCCATATTCTGAGCAAGATCTATGCCAGCCAAAAAGGCAAGTATCCTCTCAGAGCTGTTACTGCCAGGTAATGCATTTCACAATTTGCATTTACGGAAGAAAACAACCTACATGTCAGCAGCAAGGTGCACGGTAACACCTGCTACGTGTGAGCGGGCAGCAGTACAGCAAGTTGCAAAGCTTAAAATCTGAAGTCTGTTCAAAGCCAGACCTATCAACAGTGCAGGTGCCAAAGCAGGATGCTACAAAGCCAAAGTATGGCTTTTATAGTGAGAGAAGTTACAAGAAGATGAAAAACAGCCTGTACTTACCCAGTGGTTGGCACGTAGCCACAGGCAGGGCTGAAATGTTCTTGACACTGTTTTCTGAACTCCTTCCATTGTGGGGGGTTTGAGTTTATTTGACAGTTTGCTAAAGCAAGCTTTCACTCAACAATGGAAGTAATGCTTCATACACACGTGTTACAGAGGAACAACTAGTGGTTAACGGTACATTCAACAGTAAGCSAAATGGTGGAAAATATCCAGCCCTTTAAAAACAGAAACTGGCTGCCAAAGAAGTGGTTTAGAGAAACAAAGATCAAAAAAAAAAAAAAAGTTTGCTCAATGAATAAACTTACTATTCATTGTGACCTATCCAGTAAGTCATCACATACCTGCTACTAAAGCGATAGAACATTATAGAAAACGAATAATGTGCTTATCAGATGACCCTGACTCAAAAATGCAGCAGTCAGAGCTAGTGGAGTTCTTCCTATATATATGACTTGCAGGAATCCATGAGCCTCTGTCCTTCTGCTTTTAGTCACTTAGTCAAGTTAGAGCTTTAACATCAGAACTGTAAATGCCATAGGTGTTCTTTCTTATGTAAAATACATGGGAGTAAAAGAAATGTTGGGCAGTTCATATGTCCCTGATTACTGCRAGGCAAAGACTAGCATAAACGTAACTTTTATTGGGCCCTAAAAAAAAAAAAGTCTTAAAGAAAAAACAACGAGACTTCATCGTTAAGACCTTTATTTCTAGACATAATGTTCATATGAGACCTTAACTTTTTTATTGTGACATGATCACAGATTTGAGCAGAGATGACTAGCAAAAGACAGTAAGTGTGTACATTTCATTTATGAAGAGTGATTAAAAGCTWCATGTTTCTTTCAGTGCTAGACTCTTTTTCCCATCACTCAGCTTGGATGCTGCAGAAGATTCCATTARAGCTGCTCTTTTCTTAGCTCTTTTGTAGGTCCTCTTTTCATTTTCAAGACAATAAGCTGTCTCTCTCCCTAAGAATATTTGGGAATATTTTTTTTCTTTGCCATCTCCATTGACTACAACTGTTCAGACAAAAATAGCTATTCGGAAACCATGGTCTTCAGAATTGGCAGTGGTCTCCAGCACAGGTGCTATTTTATCCCCATTCTCCACAGTTAATACAAGTGCCTGACCCTGCGGTCCACTCTTCAAAACATGGCAGAGGGAAACAGAGAGGAGGAARAGTCAGCTTTTTTTAATCAAATGCCTGCTATTTTCACTACTAACAGCTTGAGCTCTCATTCACTCCTTCCATAAGACCAGGAATTATTGCTGGTCCTCTCTCAAATTACAAGTGCAAACTATACGGGCCATTCAGCATTTTTCCTACAAAACATGACCCCATCCTTTGCACTCCTCAGATCTTGCAAGTAGCTATTTGAAACTTTTAGAGGATATACAATGTCATAGAATATAGAGATAATAGACAGATACAGCAAATTGTATAAATTAAGTTCAATTTTTCATTAGGAGTCCATCTCCTAAATCCCTTTGGACATCTATTCCTGAACAATGGCATGAGATAATGACAGCACCAGGGCTAGATCCCAAATGCCTGACAAGAATCACTTGAGATGAGCTTACACTGCATTGCCTTGGGGATTGTGGATGCCCCATACAATCCCCTCATCCACAAGCTCCTCTGATACCCGAGGACACCCTGAGCCCATAAAACACAGCACGTGCGAACACTAAACCAAAACCTATTTCAGCATATAAAAGAAAAAGAAGAGCTACTCACCCTTGATTCCTGAACCTCTGCAAATAAAAGTTAACAGTCCCATCAAAATACAGTAAGATTAATTTTATAGTAATGCACTTTCTAATCTAGTTATCTTGTCCTTGGATGTGTGGACAAGTGGCTCAGTGATGAGCCTGCACAGGCTCAGCCTCAAAGGAGGCATCAAAACAACCGCTGAACTGTGCAACCCAGAAATGGTGCCATTTCTTTACTGATCACTTCTAATTGGCTGCTAAGATTATAGCCCCTTATCTTCTGGTGAAACAAAAACTGTTCTTCAAAATAATACCTATTGTAAAATTACCCTTTACACATATGCTATTTTTACTTACGTGGCACATGATTTTCCCTCTTCCTCCTTTGCCAGATATACCCAAAGCATGCTGCACCAGCAGCTAGCATAAGTACAGTGCAAGCGATAATAGCAGTACAAGCTGCATTTGAAGCTGCTCTTTCCTCTCCTTGTACTAGGCTATTCTGCTTGACCCTGATGTGAGGAAAGAGACAATCACATTGGAACATGTCAGCAAACTTCACACTGTTTTCCAGGGACATTCAGAAATTCACTCTGACTTCGTTGCTCATCAAAGAATGACTTGACTTTTACCTGTTCATTTTAATACATGGAAATGCAATTTGGTTCTCCTCAGAAGCAAACTGTCATCAAGTCCACTGTAACTAAGGGGTGTATCTATTGAAACCCAGGGCACTGCTCCTCCTGGGTCCAAATCCAGCTCTGCTGGAGCTCTGAGACCCCTGTGCAGTGACAGGTTGGGACGAGGGGCCAAGGGCTAAATCTGTCATGCTAGTGAGTTTGTAAGTAAGAGAGAAATTAAGTTGTTCCCAAGGAAGAGTGGTGGGGGGCCATAGGAAGAACCTTCCTTACTCAGGACTTTATTGAAGCAGGAACCTGCTCTTTTGCAAAAAGCACCTCACAGAGTCAACATTTGGTAAGAACAGCCCTACACCCACCAAGCTACTTACCTGGGCCAGGGTATACAGCTGTGTGACATGTTGGCGGCCGAGAAGGTTCCAGGAGGACAAGCTTCACACACGTTGTCGGTGTTTTCTGTGCCTAGGAGGGAGAAGACAACAGGTTTTCCACCTTCACCTGTGTCCAAAAGGAGCTCCAGTTCAACATGGTCTTCTTAAATGACCAGGTGATTACTGCAGACTCCTCACTATAGACAAAAGCTCATGCACTTCTTTCGCCTTTGCATATGGAAGAAGGATCCCAGGCCACATCCCCTGCCTCAGCATCTGGGACATCCCTGGATTCTGCAAGCTTTCAGCAGGGCCATGTGTCCCGCGTCCCCCGCCTGTGCCAGCCTTCCCATTCTCACCGACTCTGCAGCACTTTTTCTGGATGAACTRACAGCCACTTTCCTCACAATCAACCCCCAAACACACAGTGCATGAGAAGTGTCTTGCTCTGGGTCATTGCAGATGCTGTGCTGGCTTACCCCTCTCTTTCAGCACAGTGCCAGGAGGGCAGACAGTGTAGCGCTGGCAAAAATCACAGCTTTCAGTCCCCAAACGGCTGCAGAAATATCCCAAGGGACAGCCACATACTGTGTTCTTCGTAGAGGTACAGGCTRCTTCTGCCACCAGATTGGCTCCTAAAAGAAATCCACACGTGCAACCACAGGATTAACCTAAGCAAATTCAGCAGGTGCAAGAACAAAAATGCTCATTCAGCCACACCTTGAGGCATGGGTGGAAAGTACCAGAATTCACAGAGCTAGGGAAGTTAATTCCTTTTTTGGATGTATAAAGGTAGCCCATTCCTCACACTCACGGCATCCTGAGTCAAATGTACATTGGTGCTAAGGGACTTCCAAGGCAAAAGCCAAACACTCCTAATTCAGAGGTTCTTAGCTCAGCTGCAAGGGAGCTAGTCTCTCAAGACAGTCTCTCCCAGTCTCTCAAGACAGCTCTTCAGCCACCACGCTGCCATCCAAAGCAGCCTTCAGATTTTATGCAGCAGATGACGTCCTTTCACTGGTGCTGGTTTCATATGTAGGCCAGTTTTGCCTTCAGTCCCCACGTAAATACCTTTCTGAGGTCTGCACGGTGGCAAGAGCCTCTCCCCTCTTCATATTTTTACCAAATCATGAAGAGACTGGGGGGAGAAACAGGCAGGGGAGAACCCTCCCAGGAAAGTCATGACAGACATTCAAACTTGGCTGCTCCTTTGCCGTCCTCCTTACCTTTATTGCAGAGTTTACATTTCCTGCAGTGTTCCAGACCACTGGGACGATCAGTGTACGTACCCTCAGCACAAGGTATGCATGTTGTGCTGGACACTGCAGTACAATTCTTGAACACCTGAAATCCTAAAAACCAAAACAACCCGAAATTGTGGCACTGTTAGCAAGGCTTACGTGGCCTGGGACTGACAGCAGCATTAAACCAGCATTAACTGCTATAGATAAAATATAAGGACTTCAGAAATAGCCTAACAGCAGTAGCAATAGCAAAGATAATGTTAAAAACTAAAACCCCAAGTGAAAGCACTGTTTCCAGTGAAGCTTGAATGCCGCTCGGCGAGGACATTGGGGGCCGCTGCTCGCAGCTGTGCCACGAGATTATCGGTGCAGCAGCAGGGGCAGCTATGCTGAAGACAGCAGCGCGAGGCCGTGAGCCGCTGCAGGGATCAGGGCCTCCCTGAGAGGCAGACAGGGAGAAGGAAGAGTTTCAAGTCACAGGACAGGAACAGTGAAGGAAGAGTTTCAAATCATGAGATACTTCTTTAAATGAAGAGCCCACATTCACCTACCCGCCGCGCACATGGGGCAGCACTCGGCACCTATGGGATATTCTGCCAGCCCACAGTCCATAGCATCCCCGTGCTCTGGTTGTGTCACCAGGAAAAACACAACGACCTTTAGACGGGAACAGAAAGGGTTTCAACTGTGCAGGCTGCCAACTCAGTGCTCCCCTCCCAAACCCTTTGCCACTTGCAGCGGGGGAAGGCAGGGCGCTGAGCAGCACTGGGCGCTGTGTGGAGCGCCCTGCGCTGCCCCTCGGCACCCTCCCTGCCCTGGCAGGCTCGTCACCCGCTGCCTCTTGGCCCCAGCTCCTGCCCACCCCGTGGCACATCCCAGCAGGATGCGCGGGAGCTGCCACGTGGGGCCCTGCGTGGGGAACACGGAGCAGCTCCTTGACTCTTCCCTGCCGCAGCCCCTGCATCCCACCCGCCGCGGCACACGCAGCCCGCCCCACGCCACTCGAGCAATGAGCTCCCCAGCCTCAGCCCCGCGCGCCGCCCTCCCGCGCCGGCTCCTGCCCGCTCACCAGGCGCAGCGGTGACAGCTCAGCCCGGGCTCGCTGCCCCATGTTGTGGCCGCAGCGCCCACGGCACCCGCAGACCTGCAGCACTTACAGCCCCGCAGCACCCACAGCCCCGCAGCCCCACGGCTCCCACGGCCCCACAGCACCCAATGCCCTGCAGCCCCACAGCACCCGCAGCCCCGCAGAACCCACAGGCCCACGGCACCCACTGCCCTGCAGCCCCGCAGCACCCGCAGCCCCACGGCCCCACGGCTCCCGCAGCGCTGCGGGACAGTAAAGCTGCAGCTCCCAGAGTGAAAGCGAAAGCGGGACAGCCGGGAACCTTGGCCCCCGCGGGGGCGTCGGGCGCAGAGGGCGCGGGAGCTGCCCTGCAGCTGCYGCCACCGCGGAGGGGAAACGCTCTGCAAAGCAGAAGCGGCGCCTCGGCCCGCACCCGGGCCAYGGGGGCACCGCGATGCCGCCTTCCCCTTGCTCACTCTCCGAACACGGGGCTGGCAAGCTGTCAACCGGAGGCGAGCTGAGCCTGGAGGCTGTTTGCAAAAACATGTTCACAAATATGTGCAAGACTAGCTGGAGAGTAATTAACTCGGAAAAGAAAGCAAAAGGGGCCGCGGATGGGTAACTGATAACTTATTTAGCCTAAGAATTACACGAAAACTCTCCAAGTTTCACCTTGTGCTGCTTGTGTTTTCAGGCTAGCAGCACGGATTTATAGACACGTCAGCATTGGTCAGCTCTCAGCAGATGTCCAGATAAGCTGGAGCACAGGGAGTGTTTTCAACAGCTGTTGCCATTAATACAGCATGTGATCCGCGGGGGAAATGGACCGGCGTTCCTCCCCGCTGCCGGGAAGCGCTACCTCGCAGATAGGGAAGGGTGGGAGCCCGGTTCCTAGATGAGCGCGGCGCGAGCCAGGGAGGCGAGAGCACTGCCGAGCACCCCGGGCAGCAGCGAGGCAATGCAAGCAGCTCGGGGCCGTTTCTGACTAGGCTGCACCTTACCGGCAGCATTCCCAATTTATGGGAATTTATGCCCTTAAGGGCTCATGTGCCAAAATCCCCCTTCATTTTCCACTCTGTGAGTGCGCAGCAGCCAAGCGGATATTTGTGCAGCCCACAAGCCCTGAAAACCGCAGCCAGAGATAGGAGACACCACAAACCCTAGACGAAAGTTGGCACAGCCGGTGAAAGCAGGAAATGGTGGGATGAAGCCTTAACCAAGGCCTCCGCTCCGTTCCCTGCATTCCCGACACTTCTGGGGATCCATAAGGACCTGAGGTAAAGGGCAGTGCGGAGCTTGGGGAGCTCTTGGCCCCAGGGGTGGCAAGAGGCGGTTCCCGTTCACTCGCAGCCCCTGCCTCCCGTGGGACGCAGGACTGCGCGGCTTCCCGCGGGCCCCACATTGCTGATCAGGGGATTCAGAACCACCAGCCTCTTCTTGTAGGTGTTTTTCTTGTCGTGTTGGAGTCACGGGGTACCTGGAAGTTAGCATGGCAGCCGTTTTCTCGTGCTTTCGGGTTATTTTTAGCTGCCTATAATTTTATTGTTCTATTTGCATTTTGGGTCTATATTTCAGCCATGGTGCTCTCCAAGGGCAACTCTCTTAGGGAAAAATGAACAAACCTGATACAGCCTCTGTTTGAAAACAAAAATAGGTACCTCCCCTTTGATCAAACATAGTGCAAATTACAAGCTTTGCAAGTGAAACTTATGAGAACAAGTTTCCTGTGGCTTTATATTTTGTGCTTGAGTTGTTTTGTGCCTAATTAGGTACAAGTTGTGATCAAAGCCTTTCCTGTAGGGGAAAGACTTGTAGCATTTCCTCTCCTCTCTGAATTCTTCAGCACGCAGCAATACAGGTGACTTCCAGTTTCAGACTTTCCCTCAGGAACACGGTAACTTGGAATCTCTCTAGTAGCCTACTTTCCCAAAATTGATGGGAACATGATATCCTGGAGACCTCTGGGTTTGGTTGAAATTGCAGAGCACATTCAGGTTTTTTGTTTTGCTTCGTTTTGTTCCTGTTTCGGCAGCAGCAACAGCACTGTACTGCTCTGCAGTGCCCAGCCCTGCAATGGGATCCTCCCGCATTGCAGTGGGAGAACCGTCGCTCTGACAGAGGCAGAGCAGCCTGTTTTGGTCAGACACAGGCCAGGACGAGTGCAGGGAGGCTGCAGCGCACACAGCGACTGGGACAGCAGCTCCAAGCTGCTCATGGTTCCCCTGCTCCTGTGCGTTTCCCGGGAACGTCCCAATCAGCAACTCTTGCACCTTGCAAGCAGGTACTGCCGTCTGCACCTTCCTCCTTGCCCCGGGACTGCTGCTTCATTCCACGTGCCCGTTATAAGCCTGCTTGACTTAACTCCTATTTGGCAGCCCACATGCATTCTTTCCTCAGGCAGCAAGCTAAAATATTGAGTAATGTTTCCGATTTGACCCTGTGCAGTTCACATGGCTCAAGTCAGTTGGTCCTGTGACCTAGCATGTGATAACAGCATTTGATCTCTGAGTTAAGACAACCACAGTGCAGGAACTGGAAATTCTGGCTGGTGTTTGGTGTTTCTGCCTGGCCTGGGAACCTCCTTACAGCATGCAGGAGGTCCTACATACCCGTGTCCTACACACAGGGTTACGCAGGTGGATTTGTAAACAATTCTCTTCTGGCACTTCTAGAAGAAAACAATTATGCCTTATAAATTATAAGTTCTGTAAATCCTATCTAATCCTATTTGTAGGATATGCACAGGCAGTTTCAGGGGTTCAATTTTTTTTTGGAATAGAGTAATGCAAAAAAGGCTGGGGAGTGATGAGAGAGCCTAAGCCAGACAGTTGCTGTCCTCACTGCACATGTCCCTTGTGGTCCTAGGCCAGGTAGATGTGCAAGCACATTCAGTGTCATGTTTGCAGCGTCTCTGCTGGCCCCAAGCCTGGGCTGCTGGAGAGCAAAGTGGCCAGAGTACAAAGCCAAGCGCTGCTCGCAGCCCCACTGCATCCCCTTTAGGCCTCCTTTAAGGCTCCAGGTAAGAAGATTCTCGTTTTTCACAATGAAAGGGCCTAATTAGTGTTCGGAGGCCCCAGGGATCGCATCTCCTTCAGAGGGAAAGAAGCCAGGCAGAAGGTGCACACAAATGCATTTTTATTGCTCTCTGCAACACCRAGACACATACACAGTATGCATACAAGCCACAGGGCCATCCCAGGAATGGGAGAAACACCATCCATAGTGAATTAGAGCACTTCAAACAGACAAAAGTCATTAATAATATCAAAATGCTGGAAAAAGCATAGCTTGCACCAAAAAATGTAAAACATCAACCAATCAAGCCTTTTATCTACTATCCTTTCTTTAACATAAAGCAGTAACATATTCTTTTTCTAAAATGAAAAAAGCAGCAAAACAGTAGAAATATTCTACATAGTTCCTATCTTCTGTTCCACTTTGTATCCTAAGACTATGAAAGGGCAATTAGGGAACAACCATAAAACAAAACTGATCTTTAATTCTGTGTAAGTTGTAAGCAAGGAGGGGGAAATTGTTTTATCAAGTGTGCATGAACCAGGGTGGGGAATCTGGTCTCCAGCGTGACTAGGGCGCCTAGTCAAGCCAGAGCAGAGCCAATGGCTCTGACAAGGATGGTTAGAGAAATCTCTCCTACTTGTTAGAGAAATCTCTCCTACAGCAATTCCCTTCTGTCACAGTGTAACATATACAAAAATACCTCCTTCATTATGAAGACATTTGCCCCTGCCCGGGCCACATGCCGCGCATACTGTTACCACCGGTGCCCACGCAGCATCAACACCACTCAACAGAATGCCTCAACTTTTGCCAAAGATCCCATAAAAGTCAAAAGTATTCCATTCTTTCCATACATAAATAAAATACATGGGAAAATAATATTCCCTACGGAAGAGAGGATCAGAGCTGGACTATCAGATGCAGTCAGATCCTTCCTCTGGACTCTAAAAGGCAAAGGTCCATGAAGGAAGCACTTCCCTGACTACCAGGGCCTCCAGAGGGTATTGGTGTCCTTCAGAGATCCTTGCTTTGGGGTGCTGTGATTGCCAGACGAAAAGACGAGCTCTGGAGCAGCGGACTGGCTCTTCTGGAAGTGGCTTAAAAGCTTGGTGTGTGTCTCTGCTTGGACCTTTTGCAGAGAGAGGAAATGGAAAGCTTCTTGCAGACATCTAGAGTAGCCCTCTCTGAAGTCAAACTGAGAGCTTTTACGGAAGCATCCTGCAGCTAGAAAAGGGAAGAAAAGAGGAAGAGAAAGAAAAAAGAGTTTAGAGCAATTGCTTATGGCTGGAGTTCCATTATAACTGTCATGAATTTACAGTAAGCTCCAGACAAGAGCAAAATTCAATACTCACTCTTCATCTGCAACTGGCTCTGCTGCTTCAGGTAGCTGACRGTCATTTCCAGGATGTCGGCCTTCTCCAGCTTGGAGTTGGGCTGGTGCCGCTGGAACTCCTTCTCCAGGAGCAGCTTGAGCTGCTCGATGCTGCTGTTAATCCGGTCACGGCGCATTTTTTCCACCACCGGCTTCCTGAGCTGCAAAAAGCAAAGGAAAAGAGACTTGTTATTTGAAAGATCTTTCCTCTAGCATTTCACAGAACTRTTAGTGGCACATTTCAGTTCCTAAACGGTGTGGGCAAGTTTCTGATCTGGTGCAAACCAGTGTTTGCAGAGAGCTGGGAGCGCAGCGCCGAGCGCCCTGGCCCTGCCCGCACTTACTTTATTTTTCTCTTTTGCTGTCAGCAGACTGTCAGGCGCCAAGAACACAGCGCTGGGAGCCATTTGTCCTGAGCGAGGAAGGAAGACCTGGGAAGGGCGGACGTCCCGGAGGAGTGCGGTGCGGGGGTCCCGCTCTGCCCTGCTTTTATAGCGCGCGAGCCCTGCGAGAGCYGGTGGGTCCGGGGCCTGGCGCAGTTTCCCACGCTCCGCAGCCAACCGCGGCRGGCGGCAGCACAATGCGCCGCGCGTCTCCCGTGCACGCTCCGCTGCCGGTGAATAGCGGGATAATGACCTTCCCCCGGAGGAGCAGGTGGGGAGTGTGCGCGAGGGGCAGGAGCGCGGTGAGAACCGYGCGGCAGAGGCTGGGAAAGAGCGGGCCCTCGGCGAGAAAGGGCTGCTGCCTGACGCCACCCAGCACTGGGCACACAGACAGGGCGCCGGCTTCACACGCGCCCAGRGGGAGGTCGGCGGCGCCTTGGGGACGCCTGGAGCGGCCCCGCTGGGGACGCCGGCCGCCCCGCGCCGCGCGGCTCTGCCTGTGCATGGGCACCGGCGGCTCCGGATTCTCGGGACAGAGCAGCGTTTTCACCAATTCCCTTGCCCTGCGGTCCCTGTAACCCAGGAGTTCTCCCTCCAGTGACCGTGTCCCCAGCTTTGCCCAAGTGAAATAGAAAAGAGCTTCATGTGTCCAACACTGCAAGGACACTATCCATTTAATTTCCAGCACACACGGGTATTCAAAACGCTTTCTATTCTGGTCTTTGCTGTCTGACCAGGACATGTTATGCAGCTCGTGGGCCACGCATAAAACATGTCACAAATACTTCATGGCTTTTTTCAATAAATGCAAGATAAGTCTTGTGGGGGGAAGATAAGTCTTGTAGAGGGAAGAAAACGGAGGTGCTGATTAATGATGGAGGCTGAGCCAGGGAGCTGTGAGCAGCACAGTTCATCGCTGCTCCCACTGGGCCGCTGCCTGCATGGAGATGACCGGGAGCTGCGGCTGCAGAGTGCAGCACGCCAGCACACACCAGGGATTCATGTGGGCAAACTGGGGCCACGTGCACACACGTACCTGCACTACGGTTTCTCTGGCTATAAGACGCAGTACAGAAATAGTAAGATGCAATACAGGAATAGTAAACATTATATGGATTATTATCAAGCATTTGGAGATCCTTTACTGACATAGAAAGGATACTAAATAAACACTTCTCTTAGTATGTGTTCATATTATAATGTGTTCATAATAGGGGTTCATGCTCCTAATAGATGTTCATGTTAGTATATGTATTTTTGTGTATTAATGCATGTATTCTAATGTGAATACACATGCATATATTTCTCACTCTTTCTGCAATCATTTGTTCTTAAAACCAGGTAAGGCTTAAATGACCCCTTCCGAGATCTGCCTTTCATTCCCCATTGTGCTGTCCCTGAATAGGCTCCCTTCCCTTGGTACGGAGCAGCAGCTGTCGAGCTTGGAGTCTTTTATGTCTAGTTGTGGGAAAGTTTTGGTGACACCATTTCACATGTTTTCCTCAAAGCTTGTGGATTATCCCTGAGCCTCTCCGAAACCAATCTTTCGCTCTCTGCATCTCTCTTGGGGAGGGCCTCTGAAACAGAAACCCTGAGTGGTAAACTCCTCTCTTGAGCTCATTAATCAAGGGCATGAAGAAGAAATGTGCCAACCTCTCAATCAGCGGAGTCCACTAACAACTTTGCTAGGACAGTTTCTGTTTTGCATTCTGTGCACTGATTACTAGCTATAAGAAGAGCTGTAATTTCTCTTCCCAGTGTGACTCACATGAACAAACACTCCAGATTAAGCCCAACAAAGCTGCTTAAAGTGTCTGGTGCCCTCCCTGCGACAACCCACAGTACAGAACAGCTTCTCAGGCACCCCTGCCTTATGGCATTCCTGCATSGAGCATTTCTGTTTGCAGAGAGAAAAAAATAACTTTCCAATGCAAACTGTGTGAGAAGTGATGTGTGTAAAGCATAGGCAGCTGGGACTGCACTTGCAGTCTGTGATGATTTTGGAAGAATTATTCAAATTAGATACTTAAATACTTCTGTTTCACCTGGAAATCCCAAAGAAAAACAATAATAAGCAATAACAAAAATGCATCCCTAATATAAACTTAGGAGAAACAGTGGGGTTTATGCCAAGGAGAACGAATTTGGAATAATTTAGTCATCTTCTACTATGATTCAAAACATACATAGTGTTGGATAAAATATTCATTGGATCCCAAGATCCAGGATCTTGATAACCTGTGCAAAAAGAGGGCATCAGCAATAACCTCCCTCCAGCGTCTCTGCCAGATGTTAACGTTATGGAAAGCCTTAAAGAAGCTGATGCTGGAAGCCATGGTCCCTGCTCCCGTTGCTCCTCTCCTGAGAAGTACTGCCCAGATGGCCTTTTGGGAGCAGGGTTTCCCACTGAACACAATGCGAAGGCAGGCACCGTTGCTAATGCGGTTTGTAGCTGGGCACACTTCCTTTGTGGCGGGAATGAATATAGTTAAGAAATGGTGTGGGAAACTGAGCTGCACAGCAACTTCCACAGCCTTATGTTAATAAGTCACTTACAATGCCAAAATGCTTGGGAGTAAAGGCAGAGCAAAGGTGCCGAATGTCGAGAGGGAAAGACAGCGCGGGGTAGGAGACTGCATCAGCACGGAGCCCCAAAACCCCAACGGGACCAATCTGCCAGTTCTCCTCCCCTCGTTGAGGGCAGTGAGCCCTGTAAAGAGTCAAAAGGACTGCAGGCTGGCAGGAGAAAATTCATCCTGTAGCAAACCCCATGGTTCAGCCACRACGACCAGCAAATCGGATTGAGTTGCCAGGTTGGGGTTGGACAAGCTTCCCTAGCTGCACTGGTTTATACAAATGCACAGGCACTTGCCAAGGGTCCCTGTTTCCTGGGGATGTTTTAAAGTAGACGTGAAGAGCTCGAGATGCAAAGCAGAGTATGTGACCCAGGAAGSTCCTCTGCAACCTTCTCTGGGGCAATTTTTTTTTTGGCGGTTGGTAGTTGAGAAAGATTCAGCTCCTGCAGCTCATTTCTCATTTCCTCCTAGCTGTTCCTCATTCTCCTGCTTGGCGGTTCTTTGCTTGAGTCTCTCATAATTTCTGTTTGTCTGGAGAGCTTCCTTTACYTTTTTTTCCCTTTCACCTGGCCTTTATTTTCTTCTTGTGCAAGTTTTTGTAATCTGATTTTTCGTTCTGTCACTCCTTCTCCTTGTGTCTGTCACAGGCAGATGTGGCTTGGGGACAGGAGCGTCCTACAGACCATCAGCCTGTGTGAGTGTGGAGCTGCTCYGAGTTTCCCACACTGCTCTCCCATTCACTGCATTCAGGCAGGGGATAAAGGAAGTGTGCCATGCTACAAGCTGAATTAGAAATGGTGTTTGACTTCCCTTTGTACTTCATAGAAACCTTGCTCCGGGTAGACCATCTGCATAGCCCTAACTGTGGCAAACCCCATTGATCAAGACCTGTCAGCCCAGCTGGGGGAACTTGGGAAAGTAATTCCGTGTGCCACTTCACTTCTTTAGGGCTTAACATCTGGCTGCAGGGGAGGGGACAGCTGATGGTTTAACAATCTTGCTTCCTTTCAAGCTGGGGATGCTGTTTTGATCCCTGTAAGCCTTTCTGAAACCCTGATTCTAATAATATGGAAAGCATGCAGAGGACCAGGAATAATACACAGGCCTTGCATTTTCAAAGTACTTTGCAAATACCAGCTAATGAATTCTCAGAGACCTCCTATGTGAGATAAGGATATATTATTATCAGTCTTTTACACAGGAAGAAGATGAGACAGAGAGAAGAGAAAAAGAAAAGAAAAAAAGTATTTCAGATAGCCTATTGTCTGCAGTGCTTCTGTTTCCAAGTGGCCTATTTGAAATTCTGGTTTGCAAAGATTCTCAGCTTAGTTTTAATTAACTTTGTCATCTCTGAAAAGGAGCCAGTTGTGGGAGAATTTGGCTTACCCACCATGACACTTGCAGTCAGACACGGTCTAGATAAGCAGATGCAGAAGCTTCTCCTTTGTACTCCAGTTCCACTCAGTGGTTTCTGAGCAGTGTGTTCAAGCCGACAAAATGGCTGGAAAAGAAGAYGCACCCAAATGCTACATCAGGAAATACTGAACTGAATGATCCGTGCAATAGAAATCAACTCGCTCTCTCTGGAGAGAAAACTAAGCTTTACTCTGTTTATTTGTGCTCCTGTAGTCCCATCAAAACCTCAGTGTTAAGCTGCAACAGTCCTCGATCCTGGTGCAGATCTGTTGACACCATCTCATCTCAATCGGCTGTTCTAAACCCGAAACTCCTCCGAGGAGTGGTGCAGCATGCCCTGAAAGTCATGAACTGTCCACCAGAACCTGCCCTGAGATTAGGAGGCAATTTCTGAGCCTGGAGACCTGGCCTTTCTAGAACCAGTGGCGTAGAAATGGGAAGATCTGTGCTGCTTTGKCCACCAAATCCCGTGTGCTCCCATGTGCAGCCCAGTGCTGGGGCGGCCAAGTCACAGCCCAAGGCTGTTCTTCCCCAGGCAGAGCTTAGGAGGAGATGGACTGAGGGCTCGGGGTGTTTYGGAGCACTCCTCTGGGATCTGTGCCCCCGCTGAAGCCCCCGCTACCTGGTGACTTCAGAGTCCCAAAGCTCCTCGGTGCAAATGCAAGAGGAACGGTGGGTCTCAGCCCTGCTGCTTAGATGGGGAACTCTTCCATGACGGAGGCCACAGCTCCCGCGGCACCAATTAACATGCAATTAACATGGGTGCAGAGCAAGATGTAGCTGAGATCTCTGACAGAGACGGGAGAGGTGCCGCTCACAAGATATGCACGAGGGGCCCTGCGTGCCCAGCCCTGGCATTAAGCTGGGCAGAACACGCTCTCACGTGCTCCGTAGCTGCCCCTACTTCACCCTGCTGCTGCCTACGTGTCTACTGGTACCACAGGAATTAAGTCCTCGGGGCGGCCAGGGCAGCCCTGTCAAGCAAACCGCTAGAAATGCCAGAGGAAAAGGCTGTTTTCTGTGACTGTCTTACTTGGGGGTTGAAGGGGTACGGTGGTAAAACAGGAACAGGGTGGCTCGGGGAAGCCCTGTTCCAGGGCAGTGTGCTCCTTTGAGCCATGATTGATTCCTGCCATCAGGCACCAGCCTGCTCTCTCCCAGGGTCACCACTTTCCCACATCCAGCTCCATTATCCCACAGACCACGTCTTTTGTACAACACACTCCAGCTATTCATGTGCAAAGCAGCTGTAATCCCCAGACCTTTCAGAGTCAATATTCCAGGAAATAATAAATCCCTCTTGTGCACCCTGGAATATGCTGAGGGAATTTCAGCTAGGCAGAAAAAAAATAATAAATTCTTTTTATTTTTAATTATTTCTAATACTTGCTATAGGAAGACTGTGTCACTGGTGCATGACTATTGCAGGGTCACCCATGCAAGCAGCTCCAGAAATCACTTTTGCCTCTAATAGCCCTGAAAAGAGGCTTGTAGTGCCTCATATGCCCCTTAATAACCAAAGTCTGTTTCCTTTCCCTGAGGAATACTGGAATGACAGAGTATTAGGGATTCTGGATCTAAAGGAAACATAATTAATACAAAATTTTACATTAAGACAACATGTAAAGAATGTACTTTACAGTATTTTTGTGTTTTTTTTTTTTTTTTTTTTGTCAGGTCTGTAACGTGTGAGGCAGGTACGATAGCGCTGCGCTAGTGATAACTGATGGGCTGTTCCAGCACTAGCAGCAGGGCACGCGGGAGCCACCCGAGCCCCGTGCCGGTGCCAGGCAAAAGGCCCCGGCTCCGCTCGCACCCGGCAGCGCTCCGGGGAAGCCAGCGCAGGCCTGGCAAGGCCAGCAGCACCAGCAGGCCCGGGACGGGCCCACTGCTGCCCCTTTCTCCTGGCAAAGTGGTGCCGTCATCGACCGGCGCTTCCCACTTGCGCTGGGCAGAGAAGGCAGCGGGTGAAGGCGCCCGGGCCGGAGCGCGGCCTGCACGAAGGCGCTAGCAGCGCCCACGCCTGGCGTTGAGTTTCCCCCAGTTTTCCATACTTTTCCGCTATTGATAACTGCTCTTGTCGGGACAATAGAAGTGTGCCTTGCAGCTACTCACGACATTAGTGCCGGTGCTTGAGCCTCAATGAATTAGAGGGAAAGAATCCAGCTCCCAAAAGACCATCTGGCTGCCCTTATAATACAGCAATAAAGGTCAGGGCTGCTTCTCAGGAGTTGGGAGAAAGATGCTCTCTGACACCGAAGAGTCTCTTTAACCAGCTTGGTGCATGTCTACCTGTCAGCGCCTCGCTTCAAGTCCTGCCACCATTGCTGCCTTGCAAGCAGAGAGACTTGTCTGCTGGTTTTCCCAGAACCCGGGGAATAAAGGGCTCTGAAAACAACATCTGCCCTTAACAAAAAGCTAAGCTCATTCAGACCCCTATAATGAGAACCATGAAGCTGCCTCCTTTGGTGACACCTCCCTCTTCCTGACAATTGCCCATTAAACTCAGGCTTCATGTCAGCGTTTCAAAGGAAGGAAGAAATGGTCCTTGGCTTTCTTGCCTCCCTGCACACTTCCCCGTGCCCAGAGAGCACAGGGAAGGATGGAGGAGGAGGAGGACTAAGAAATGGCTTCAGATGGAGGGAGCAGCACATTTACTTCTGAAACAGATTCTGGGTTATCTTCAGTGGTTCTCAAGGACTGAATCTGGACAGGTATTTTTCCAGTCAGACAAAATGAGAACAGACCTGGAGTGCCCACAAAGCATCATTCGATTTTCTTTCCTTTAACACACAAGAAATAACATTTGACATATGCAAGTAGAGGCAAGCATCATCACCCTTGCTTTCCAGGAGAGAGGATAGAGTGGGCATGAGCTGCTCATGGTTGCACAGAGAGCTGGTGGCAGGACCTCCTAGACCTTATGTTCTGCACACTGCCTACCAGGAGGCCTGGCCTGCAGTGGGACACAGTGATTCCTCCAGGTCAGATGGGACCTGGGAGTGCTGTAGATCTCCAGARAGAAGCAGAACCAACCTCCCTGCTGAGGTCTGAGGATGGGCTGCAGCTGATAAATCCCTTTCCCAACCTGCCTCTGACCTTCCCAGTGCCTGGGGCTGCTGAGGCGAAYGTGGTGCAACTCCGCAGGCCACCTCGGCCACCACATGGACAAGTTTTGTCTGAAGGAGAGAGCGTAGGAAACAGAAAAGGAAGATCCACATGGTGGCTTGGCATGAGCCCAGTTCTTCTCGAAGACGCCTTTATGTCCTGAAGGAGGGGACAGCGTTGGTGTAACTGGCTCACGCAGCCCCGTGTGTTTGGTGTAAGCAGGGGAGAGGCAAGCCCAGGGTACAAATTCCACTTTCTGTTCCCTGTCTGTGAATTGAGGCCCATGGGCGGAGGTCTTTGGCTGGCCCAAACCAGGCTGGCCCAAACCACCATCCTGCAGCCCTGACTGCAGGTTCTCCAGGGCCTTTAGAGCTGCCAAACCTGCCATTTCACACTGGTAACACCTCCGCTCACCCGCAATTGCTGGGAAAACTGCAAGGACTGAATGAGCAGGCACAAACCCGCCCGTGGTAAATGGTGAAGCRGAGCTGGGAGGCTGGCCGGGAGGCACCCTCAACTGCTGATTGCTGCTGATTTTCACCCTCGCAATTTTCCCCCGCTTCTTCTCCCACCTTCCTCCCAAAGCGTGCCRGCTCCACGCCGCAATGTGACCTCCCTGCGCAGACTCGGGAATGCGATTGATGCCGACGGGCCAGCAGCTGGAGGGGCAGCGCGTTCCCGGCTCCGCGGCCCTGCCACGCCGCCGCACGCTCCACCAGTTGGCTTGGGCAGAAGGTTATTCTCGGCGGGGCATTTGCAGCCAATGTACCGTGCACTAATAGATGCTTCCCCTTTTGTTGGGCTACGTGCCTGGATTGGCTGGCGACTGTGGGAAACGCGGGCTCTCCTGAGACTCACATATCTGATGAAAGGCTCTGACGTATAAGTAGAGGCTGTCAGTGWCTGCCAGAGCATGGTGCTGTACCCRGCGTGGACGGCTCTGCCCAGGACTGAGCGCTAAGAATGGCCCCCAGCAGCTCTCTCATGATCTACGTGGAGGAGAAACTGCTGCCAAAAGAGAAGAATAAAGTAAGTAGAGCCCTGGTGAGAAAAGGCTGAGAGGCTCTGTACAGCAAGCCCCTAACACACCCGATGAGAGAATGCCACTTRTCTGCCTCTGCCAAATAAATCTTACACAGAAAAAGTCGAGAAGAGGGGAAAAGTAGCCTGGGGAATAACAAATACATAGATTTAAGAGTGAAGCTGGGTGGGCAGTATTGCAAAGCTGTCCTGTAAAGCAAAGCATCCTGGACACCTGCGTGTACCGGGCCACACCTGACGAGCTGCRGTGTCTCTTTTACAGCTCAGGAAGCCGGTGGTGGAAAAAATGCGCCGTGACCGGATTAACAGCAGCATCGAGCAGCTCAAGCTGCTCCTGGAGAAGGAGTTGCAGCGGCTGCAGCCCAACGCCAAGCTGGAGAAGGCCGACGTCCTGGAAGTGACTGTCAGCTACCTGAAGCAGCAGAGCCAGCTGCAGCGCCCAGGTAAGCGCAGGGCACGAGCCGCCCCACGCAGAGCCTGTTCCCACCGGCCCCGCTCTCCCCGTGGCCCTGGCCCGCGGGCAGTGCAGGGTTTAAGCACCACATGAGCGGGGCTTTGCAGGGCCAGGCTCTGGAATAGGCCCTCACACACAAGTGCTCCCAGCCCCTTGATTTGCTCATGGCTTTAACCCTCGGATTTGCCTCTTTCTTTTTCGTCTAGCGCTCACTCACAAGAATCCAGAGCAGGACTTCAACAGCGGCTACCTCAGGTGCCTCAAGGAAGCTCTGCATTTTCTGTCCTACCACGAACCGAAGAAGGCAGCTCACACCCAGCTAATGAAGCATTTCTGCCAAGTCCAGATGGGTCCAGGTGTCTTGCGCTCTGGTGCTCCACAGCGGCTGCCCCTGTCGCCCTGTCTGCAAGCCGGGAAGCAGCCGGCCCAGAAACGCGCGGCTGCTCCTCCTGCCATCTGGAGACCCTGGTCCACCAGCTGAGGGACTTCCCTTTAGTTCTGCTACAAAAACTAGAGGGACCTCTGATCCCGCAGGTCCTCTTTAAAGTAGGAAATGGAACTTTCCAAGGTGGGAGTGGGGAGGTGATTGTGTTTCTGTCACGAGAAACAAGGGTCACTAACTGGTTTCCCTTCATAGTGAAGAATTCCATTTGTGTATTAGTTTCCCTTCATAGTGAAGGATTTTGTTTGTATCTTGCAGCAAAGTTGCTGCTGTTGTGGATGGCCCCTAGCCAAAGAGAGGACCAAGTCCTGCGGGCACGTGGAAAGCAAGTGTCCCTTGTTTCCATCATACCTTTGCTTAGCAAGGCTGCTGAGCCGTGGCTGCCGCTGTCAATGGAAACCTTTCAGYGACAACTCGGGTCACTGGTTCAAGTGCTCTTTTGTCTCTAGATAATGGATTGGCCTTGCTAAAAAGGGGCATTTTGGAGAACGTATTTTGTATCATAAAGAGAGCATTGAGTCTTTACCTTTTAAGTGAAAAATAATACTGGAAATGTGGATTCTTCTAAAGTTCCTGTCCTGTTTTTAGTATATCTTCTTATAGAAAGTTATTATGGTAGCAGATTACTGTAGGAAAATTCTCCTGATGTCCAGCACGTGCTGCTTTCAGTTGGGGGACAATTAATGCCTTTTGTAAAGGAAGTACTTTTGATAGGGCTTAAGGAAAGGGAGCAGAGGGGAGGCGATGAGTACTGTACAGTTATTCACTGCATGCTGAAGAGCGTAAAAAGCTTTTATAAAGTGGTGATGTATTCATCCTGTGTGATGTTCAGCTTTGATTTCTTCACTGTACGAGTCAATAAAAACATTTATAGCCGTTAGTACTTTTGTATCATGGTGTCATCAATGGAATTGATTAAAATGAATAATACTCCTGGATTAAGCATTGCATGTGGACTTCTGCAGCAGGGAACCTATCGGGAGATGTCATTTTCTGAGCCTTCGTCCTGACGCATTGATTCAGATTTGTGAGTTCCATTTGGAAGAACGGAATTTTAGATTCTGCAAAATAGTTACCCTTGGAAAAGCCAACAAGACTAAAATAAGGGTGAAATTAAGTACAATATTGAGTGCTGCGACCCTAGATATTTAACAACAACCCATTGACATGCCAGCAAATCACCAGTTTATGTCCCCTATTAATTTGCCCAACGACTTGTGTTCACGCATTTATGCAGGAGATGATAACATGCAAATCTCCTAAAAGCTCCTGATAACCTCTCCCAAATAGTCTGGCACCTCACTCTGCCGGGGATCTCGCCCTCTCCTTTGAAGCCGATGGGTGAACTGGTTCTCATAGTCTTTTAATTTGAGCTCTTTCTGTTACCTAATCACGAATTCTGTCAGGTAATAGTGAGGGGTTTGTTTGTTTGCTTTTATTTTTTAAGTGAAACTTGTCCACATGTGGTTAAAAATATAAGAATGCAAGAGTAAACAACAAATGAAGTAGCATTCCATCTCCYGAACTATTTCTCAATCCTTTTATTTCCTTGGAACTTAATAATTGCCACGTAGGCAGAGTGCGGGGCCTTCGGGCTCAGCAGAAGTGCRAATCCCAACAGAATTCCACGGAAAGCCTCCCGTTCGCTCCGGGCAGTCAGATCCATGGCCGGTGCRAGCCCAGCTCTCTTGCCTGCGCCAGCCAGAGACCCAACCGCCCGGCTTCGATGCGCCAGTTCCTTGTGAGCTGAAATCCAGGCCTCCRGCTTCACCAGCCCTAGCAAAGCAAAGGTTATGTTTACACTTATTAATTATTATCACTTATAGTAATTGGAGGCCAAGCTTCCTGTGCTGTTTCTCCCCTGGGGTGACTCTCCCCTGCTCCAGCACATTCCCACCCTTGGGGAAGACAATGTTTATTATGCTGATCCCACAGCCCCGGAATACTCCCCCAACAAAGCCCCTATTAACCTCGGAGTGTGGGCCTGAGTTCCGCAGAGTTTCCCACACTTTCTTCCCTATTCCTGCCATTCAAGCGGCACAAAGGAAGCGTGCCGCACAACAAGCCGCATTAGCCACGCTCGCGGGCTCCGCATTGTGCCGCCCGGCAATTCCTGTCCCGATAGACCATCTGGAGCGCTGTTTTCCCAAGGAGCACATGGATCAATCAATATTATCTGAGGCCTTTTAAAACTAGGGAATGTTATGGTCTTTGACACTAAGTAGATGTCCCATGAGAGGTTGTCAGATAGATTTTAAACCATTTAAGGAAGGCACAGAAAAAATAAAATCATAATTATTTATTTAAAAACACCCCTCAGAGTGTTTGTGAGACAGGATGACATAAATGTAGGAAATGGTTGAAAGTAGAAATGCTTTAAAAGAGACATAGAAAGGAAAGCTGTAAGCCGTTATGGTGCGTGCTATTAGCAGAGCCCTAGATGTATAGGAGTGCTGTGTTATAAACCACAAAACAGCCAGGGAAATGCTGGTTTCCTGCACGTGGCTCTGGCCACGCTGACCTTCCTCTGCACCCCTTGGTGTCTGCAGGTGTCTGGGGAGGCCTCCTGTGTCCCCAGAAAGCCAAGTACCAGCTGGGCTAGGGAGCTTGTCCATTAGCACCAGCAGCAATAGCAGCTTTGGGGAGGACTGGGGGGCAGCAACTCTGCACCGGGGCTGTGACCACCTGCAACCCTGGGCAGAGCACTCCATGGCTCGGGATCCATCTCTGGCACTGCATTTCTCCCAGGTGCTTTGCTGGATTTCTCCCAGCTGTTTTGATTTATGGACTATAAATGCAAGCCTGCTGGGTATGATCCTGGGGTTGGTTTGTTGGTTGTTTTTGTGGAGGTCTTTAGGGTTGTGCTGCAGCTCCAAGTGCTTCTGCTGTGTTGTGTGGTCAGGTTGAAGCATTTGAGAAATTTAGTGACTTGTTTCTTCTAAAGCAAAAGTACTGATTCAGGACCTGGTAGAGCCAATCTTATCTTCTCTTTTGGCACTGTAGCAACAGTAAGAGCTATGAACTCCTATTAAATATGAGCGCAGGGGCAAGGGCTGGATTTGGATCAGAAATGTGTTTCCGTATTGCTCTAGCAGCTCTATTTCAAATGATTCAAAAGTGAACAAACTAGCTAAGGCCTTTTAAATAAGGAGCAACAGCAGTGCCTACAGTTCAGGGTTTGTTCCCTCTCTGAAGCTCTTCCAGAGGGCTCATTCTGCACCTACTTCCATGAAGACTGTGCCTTAGGGCAGCCTCAACCTGGAGAAGTCGGCATCCAGAAAGGTAAGCTGGTAAATACCTTGATGCTGATGCCTGTTCAGGGCAAATGTGGAAAGCCACCTGGGAAAGAATGAGGAGTGTCTCTGGCTCGTGAGCGGCTCAGGGAGCCGGGCGAGGTGGCCAAGGGAGTGGGAAGGGCAGAAAGCTGCAGGATGCAGCCCCACGGAGGCCAGGGTGAGAGCCCCCGTCCTGGGAGCTCCCCACAGAGACAGAGCGGCCCATGCCTGTGTTAAACCGCTGATTAAAGRCGTGTGTCTGCACAGGGCGGCTCCGCCACCTGGAACATGTCCATGGACCCACAGGAAAAGTTATCGGCCACAGCGAGGTGGGGTTTGCAATGGCTAGGGAAGTGGCATGAGATTAAATACAGCAAGTTTGGGAGAGGCACCGTAATCAATACACACCAGAAGGTGCATCAGAGAGCTCAGATGCTTCTGGTTTAAAAAAAAAAAAAAAAAAAAAAAAAAACTCTAAATATAAGTTAGTCATGTGAGCATTTAGACAAATGGAAATATTTCAAGCTACATCTTGGAGCAAATGAAGTTTTTTTCTCTTGATTTTACTCACTAGTTGCTTGAAAATTATATGATACTATATTAATCTAAGTACAGTTTAATGTCAGTGACAGGGTTTAGTCCCTCTCCATCTGTGTCTTTTCCTTTTCAGCGCCTGCCCTGGCTGCGGGCACGGACCATTTTCTCGTGCCGAGATCTATCTCTTGTGCTCGGCTCCCCCCCGGCCCGGGAAAAGGCGGCACATTGAGATGTTGGTGCTGCCGGCCGGTCGCAGGCAGGACCTCGATGACAATGACAGCAGCCGCTTTCCCACGTTTCCACCCGCGCGCCCGGCCAGGCCCCTTTGTGTCACACTCTGCCTCCACCTGCTCCTTTGGGAGCCGGGCTTTATCCCCGGCCAATTCACAGTCCATTTACCCGAGGCACCAGAGGCTTTCCCTATTGTGCCGGAGTGCTGGGAAAGGCCAGGAACGGAGCACCCAGGCAGTTCTGTGCCCTCTGGCCTATAAATAGAGCAGCCCCCTGCTCTCCTCCCCACTTCCAACCTGCGGGCTCTGAGCTAACATCAGCACCGGCACGTGGGTAACGGCGCCCAGCGCTCTCCCCGGCAGTCCTACCGGCCCAAGGATACGAGCAGGGTAAGTGCAAGGCGAGGGGGCCGAGCCCCTCGGCGGGAGCTGACGGGGCGGGAAGGGGACTGTCCTTTCACTAAGTGTCCCCTCCTGCCGCAGCTCGGGAAGCCGCTGGTGGAGAAGCGGCGGCGCGACCGCATGAACAGCAGCATCGAGCGGCTCCAGCGGCGGCAGCCCAGCTCCAGGCTGGAGCAGGCCGACGTCCTGGAGACGGCCGCCAGCTCCCCGCGGTGCAGCCAGGGCGAGCAGGGCGGGCCCGGCCGCCCCTCGCCGTGGCCGGGCTCTGCGTGACGGCAGCGCCCGGCAGCGCCGCCCCGCAGCAGGATCGCGGCCCGGGCTGCGCCGGCTGCCTCGGGGAGCCCCGCGCCCCCTGCCCCGCTTCCCCCGGGGCGCCCGCCGCGTCGCCCGGCGCCGCACGGAAACCCCGAGGAAGGAGGAACCGGCTCCTCGGACGCAGAACCCGCTCCCTGGATGTCTCCCTGCGGCAGGACTGAAGCGCTGCCGCCAGGCGCAGGGAAGGTTCCCGGCGGCTCGGGGTGCGGCTGGCCTTGCTGGGTGGTTCGTGTGCGACTCTTGGGAAGCAGGAGCTGCCGGGCGCCGGGGACGCCCGGTGTGCGAGCGGAGCCGCGCGGGACCCCGCTCCTCTGCGCCCCAAGGTGCTCGCAGAGYGTGCGGCTCCCACCCAAATTCCGTAGAGGAAATTCCTCGGGGGGYCTTGCTTGCAAAAGCTGGGGTTTTTGTAAGCGTCGGGATATGTGCGCCTTTTATAAGGCAACAGGTCAGTCTATATCCTTGTAGGAAATTGTTACAGCSTGTGCTGTTGATTTTTACAGGAAATATTTATCAAGGTCTTTTATGAAAGGCAGATGTACAAATTATATTTATTTTTCTTGGTACCCCAACACAAGGGGAGAATGTAAATTCACTGATGTCCTTGGAGGATGCTGTGACGTGTTAATGTGGGCTGTGCTCATTGTATAACCTATGCTGGAATCTTAAACTGCAGAAGTTGCAGAAGCTTTTATCAGAAAATAAACAAAACTCCAGTTGTTACATCCTGCGAGTTATTCTTTCTCGAGCAGTTAGCACAGCTCCAGTCCCGGTGGTGCACTGTTTGTCCCCATCTTGTGGACCGGAGGGTGCAAGACAGGGATTTGCAAAAGACAAAAAGTTGCTCAGAATTAGTCCAGCTGCCTCCCCCGGGCTGGGTCCAATTGAAACCCCTGCAGCCGAGTTCTCCAAAGCAGAGAACGGTGCAAGTTGCCCACGAGATCCCTCCCCGCTCAGACCCTTCGGATAGCTGAAGCTGAGGGAAGAACTGGGCAGATTTCATGGTCTGACCCCAGGAAGCGCCTGTGGCTACTAGGGGATGTTTATTAAGGTGCTCCCGCTGCGTCTCCTGTTTCCTGAGCCACTGGCGCCTCYGACCTGCAGAGGATTTGAGTGCAGAGCTCGCCCCCAACCCGGGGTATTTATAGCTGCTAGTGCACTTGTGCATGTATGTATGTGCACGGGCATATAGGGGGCATTGCAGACCTCAGTGCCTTGCACACAGCTCACCTGCGCTCTCACACATGCTGTTGCACACATGAACAGRCCCAGACAGTCACATATACGCAGACGCACTCATTGTGAACGCACCCATGCACTCCATGACCTCAGGTATGTCCACAAATGTGCACGCACACTCGCCTGCTGGCACGCACGTGTGCACACACACCCATCTGTGCAGACACACACAGGTGCATGCATGCATGCGCCACACACTTGCACACCTGCMACCTACACTGCACACATGCATGCACCCGCACGCTTGTGCGCGCATTCCCCTATCCGCGGGCACGTGCACTCATCCTCTCGTGCACGCGGGCACGTGCACGTGTACACGCACGTTCACGTGCACGCTCACGTGAACGCCCACGTGCCCGCCTGTGCCTTGCGCACGCGCAATCAGCTGCGCGCACGCGCACCCGGGCACGCGCAGGAGCTCCTCCCCCTCCCTCACCTGCCCAGCTTCGCGCCCCCTCCGCATAATCTATGCGACGGCCTCGTTAGCATGCAAATATATGCGCATATATTTACATGCAGATGAGGCAGCGCATAGAGCGGGCTGCGCTCAAAATGGCGGAGCGGGGCGGGCGCGGCGCTCACGGCAGCCTGGACAAGAGCATCACGCTCCCGCCCCACGAGATCTTCCGCAACCTGGAGAACGCCAAGCGCTTCGCTATCGACATCGGTAGCCGGGCGGGGAGCGCGGGGCGGGCTGCTGGCGCGAGGGGACGGGGCTTCCCAGCGTGGGGTCGGGAAATGGCTGCGAGGGGGCAGCGGAGCAGCCTGCGCTGTCCCTGTCCCCTTC